GGACCTGAATGCAGTACAGGTGGAAGTAATGATGTCATGGAGAAAACCACTTAGGCATCTGTTGAACACCTGTGAGGGGTGTGGTGGGAGTTATTGAAGAAGTTCAAGACCCAGTTGGGGAGAGGCAATGCTGAGCAATGGGCAAATTATAATGAACTGTTCATTTCAGACTTCATGTTTTAATTTATTCATGAACTGGTGCTAAAGTCAGTTTTACAGAATTGTGACCAGCATTTAATAAAAGAAGAAAAAAGAAGTAAAAGCAGAAAAGAATAATATAAAATTGAACTGAAAATATCAGTGTGCATTGGTACATGTAAAGGCAACTTGTTTCATGAAACATATTTAAGTTATATATGTGTGTATACACTCAGTATGAAATGTATTTCAGTTTAAAAAGTACGAGAAATGGTGTTCTAAGCCAGGATAAAGGTCTCCAGATTGGAGGGCAGTTAATGACATCTGGGCTGGCAGGTGTGCTGGCTGTGTAGGGGCTGGGGGTTTGGCTTGTAGGGGTGGAAGAGCATAACAAGGGTCAAAAGCATAGACTGTGGAGTCAGAGAGGCCTGGGTTTGGTTCCAGCTCTTCCCCTTACAGCTACATGGTCTTCAGCAAGGCACTTTGACCTTACTAAGTCTTGGATTCTACTGTGAAATGGGGAGAATATTAAGCTAAGGGTTAATATGAAATGTACATGTGATAAATGTACATAAAGCATTGAGAAAGAAATTAGTAAGTAGTAAATGGTGTATGAATGGTAACTACTATTGCTGATGTTTGTTGTAATTGGGTTTTTTAATGGTACATTGGTCCCTGAAGAAGTACTGTAACTTGGAGAGGGACGAAGAAGAAAGGAATGAGTAGGTGACAAGAGATAAGCATTGTGTGGCCTCAGGAGGGGATGTTGAGATTGTAGGTAGAAAATACCAGGACAATTTTGTCATAACATGGGGGAGAAAGTTTTAGTGTAGAAACTATTCAACAATTGGGTGGCTTCCTCTGGAGATAATAAGGCCCTATCCCTGCCAGAATTCCAGTAGAGCCTGGGCCCAAGAGACTGTTTCAGTAGGCTCTTTGGTTGCAGAAACTTCCTCAGGCCACCAAGAGGGGTTTGCAGGAGGGTGAGTGAGGTCCTGATCTGAGGCATACCCCATGGACCACTTGGTTTCTTTCTTTTTGTTTCCATTTTTTGTTTTATTTTTATGTACATCTTAACCACTTGGTTTCTTAATATGAAGTCAACTTTTCTCTCACCAGAAATTGGCTCATGCCCTTTGTCTGCTGTCAGGAGGATGCCACCTCAGGGCCTTTACACCATTAAGCTTTTTGCAGGGATCCCCCCCCACCCCCAATCCCACCCAATTGACTCTAGGTTCTTCTCACAGCCCCTTTCTGGGCATTCTTTGAAAGTCAATTCATAATGCAGCCTGTCTAAGCACATAGGGAAAATGAGGCTCAGAGTAAGGAGGAGACTCGATTGTGTAAAAAGTATTCCTGTATCAGACAGCAGTTGTACCAGGTGCTTTCTGGAATCCTGACTTATTTGATAAAAGGATATGTGAACCTTCAGGTTTTTTTTTTTGTTTTTTGTTTTTAATGGATAGTCTGCAACTACTCAGGAGCATATCCTGTACAGAAAGAGACATCTGCCTGCCATTAGAGAGTGTGCTGAGTGGCCAGGTGTGGTGGCACATGCTTATAATCCCAGCAACTAAGAAGGCTGAAACAGAAGGATCACAAGTTTAAGGCCAATCTGGCAACTTTTAAACTCTGTCTCAAAAACAAAATAAAAAGAGCTGGAGATATAGCCAATGGTAAAGTGCCTCTGGATTACATTCTTAGTACCACACACGGACACAAAAAGAGTGTGCTGAGTGCTGAATACACCCAGACCTCAAGTGTCTTCCTTCTCACGATTCCTAGGTAGATTAAACTCCTCTGTTGTAGAGGCCATTTAAATGACCATATTTCCTCAAATTTAAGGTTTTAAAAATTAAAACATCACCAGGCATAGCTGGGCATGGTTGTGCACGCCTGTAATTCCAGCAGCTCAGGAGGCTGAGGCAGGAGGATTGCAAGTTAAAAGCCAGCCTTAGCAACTTACTGAGGCCCTAAGCAATTTAGGGAGACCTTGTCTCAAAATTTAGAAAAATAAAAAGAGCTGAAAGTGTGGTTCAGTAGTTAAGTGTCACTGTGTTCAATCCTTAGTACCCGCCTCCCTGCCAAAAAAAGAAAAAATTAAAATATCTTTTGATTGATATGTTTATTTGTTTTGGTACTGGGGATTGAACCCAAGGCACTTTACCACTTTCCAGGGTCTTGCTAAGTTGTTGAGGCTGACCTCAAACTTATCATTCTCTGCCTTAGCCTCTCAAATCTCTGGGATTATAGGTGTGTGTCACTTTGCGCAGCTGACGTGTATATTTAAAGCAGTGGAAGTTTTTATTGTTTATCTCTGAGAAGGTCTTAACAAATGATCAGCTAAATCATGTATCTTAAAATCAGAGGTATCTTAGAATCCAGGAAATATGGTCATTTGTTTTGTACCCTTTTGAAATTCCGGTTTGAGGTTTGAAATTGAGGCTTTGAAACTGTCAGAGCTATTATCTGACATCAGTTAAAAGAACTCTTAGTATGTTTCTCTGTGTATCTATAGTTGAGAGAATGGATATCTTGGAGGCCTTGCAATAAGATTTTTGCCACCAAAGTCAGACTCCAGGAATAAGGTATCAAATGGGTATATATTTAATCATGTGGGAATTCTTTGAAACTGATACTCTAGGATAAAAGTCTTGCCCTCTCTGAGCCTCAGTTTCCTCATCTGTGCAACAGGGATTCTGGATCTGATGTTATCTATATCCATAATGGCCAGAACTTCCTGTTGACTTTGTGAGTGCTTCTTCAGTTAACTTGCTGGCTTATCTCCTGACTTATTGCATAAGCAAGTGCATTATGGGTGGTGGAAGTCACCGTGGCCTGGGGTATGTAGGCCTTTGGTTTCTGCTCTCTGGGGTTTGGGGGTTGCTGAAGATGGGATGTCCTTTTGTAAAGTACCTGACCAAAAGATTTAAGAAAGGAAAGGAAAGGAAGAATGTCCTTGTGACCTATTTCTGTCTCTAGGTAGTGAGCAGGGCAGCAGTTCAAGCTGTGTCATTGTATCCAGGGTCCCTGTTTGTCCTAGGCTATAGTCCCTCCTCAGTTGTTCAGCTCCAAGACTGCTCTCAGGATCCAGCAGTTCCTCAGATGAAGTGCACTGAAGAGGAGGACTTGCCCTTTTGTGTCCCAGAGGCCTCGGCTCTGCCAGGGCCCCTCCCTCTGCTCTTCCAACCAGTAAAAGTCACAGCAGCACATTTCCTTCCGGTAGAGAGAGAAGCAGAGACTCTAAGCCTGGGCCAGGCCCTAGCCCCACCACATCCTGTTCCTGAGAGCTAATCTCCTTTGAGTGCCTCCTACCCTGTGCCCATTTCTGAATAGTCAGGCAAAACTGAGTGCCAGCCATCTCTGGGCTAGGATCTGTCTTAGAAATGAGTCTGTCTTAGAAATGAGTCCCACTTTTCCCACTGGTTTGCTGTTTGGCTTTGAGTAAGTTACCTTCCTGGGTATCTTACCTCTTTGAGCCTCTGTTTCTTATTAATATTTCATTTTCTTAACATAGTCAAGTACTTTCTTAATTGAAAAATGTTTTAAAAGTACAACAAAGAAATGTAAAATATCTGTAATCCACTACTTAAAAAAAAATAAGAAAACAGTGTGTATGTGTGAGTAAGAGATGCATACATATATTTTGTGTTCTTCTTTGTTTGCTTTCCAACTATTAGTCTCAAGGCTAGATAGGAAATATATGTAGAATACATAGACTACAGATATTAGTTTCCTTTTCTTTGTCCCTCAGAGTTGTGTAAACTCTTTTTTTTGGGGGGGGGTGAGTACTGGGGATCGAATTACTCAATTCAGGGGCACTCAATTACTGAGCCACATCCCAGTCCTATTGTATTTTATTTAGAGACAGGATCTCACTGAGTTACTTAGTGCCTCACTTTTGCTGAGACTGGCTTTGAACTCATGATTCTCCTATTTCAGCCTCCAGAGCTGCTGGGATTATATGTGTGTGCCACCTTGCCTGGCTTCTGTGAACTCTTGAGTTCCTAGGACTCACTCCTTGGAGGAAGCCAACTCAGTTGATGCACCTCTGGCTAAGCCAGGGATTTCCACCCAGCTTACCTTCATCTGCTTTGGTGCTGTTCTACCTGCCTGGGTGGATCTCAGTGCTCACTAGAGTGTCTCCACAGAGGTCAAGAGTTTGTTCTAGTCATGGGCACACATCTTCTTAGCCTACCCAAGGCCCTGGTCCTAGGTCAGTGCTGACACAGTTGTGATAGCTGCTCAGTTGATACGTGTTGTGCAAATATAAATGATGTTGTTTGAAAGGGCTTTGAAGTATAATATGAAGATTTTAATAGGAGAGACAACTTGGAGAGCATTCCTGCCAAGGGATTAGTAGTATGAGTAAAGGATAAGAGGTGGGAAAAGGCAAGGGTGTAAGTGGGGAAACTCTGAGTAACTGGTTCAGGTGAAGAGGTAAGCATATTTCTGTACTTGTTTGACTAGTTTTTGTGTCCAACTCTGCTCCTAGCACACAGGCCTTCTGAAGAGCCTTATTTATATTTACTGAGGCAGGCCCAAGACAGGAATGCTTGGCTTTGATATACAGATGTACATATTTAGCCTCTGCCTCAGAGAGGCTTGGTGACCCCTGGCCCTTTGATACATTTAGGGAGTAGGCATTTGAACCTGGTTTCTCTCTGGCCTCTGCCTTTCACGGAGCGGGGCACCATTCCCTCTCCTGTGCAATAGAGCATTCATGAGTTCACGGTCCTGAAGGGAAGTTCAGGGATGAAGGCCAGGGAGGATTCAGGTCTGGCCAGGCTGGTGTCTGGGGCTGAAGCCAGGGCCTTTGCTTCTCTTGGCACATCTGATGGGTGCTGCCCTCTGCTCCACAGGCTGGAGGAAGTCCCCCTGGAGGTGCTGAGGCAGAGGGAGTCTAAGTGGCTGGACATGCTCAACAACTGGGACAAATGGATGGCCAAGAAGCACAAAAAGGTGAGGGGCCTGACCTCGGGCTTTGGGCTGGGAATTGGTAGTCTGAGGAGGAAAAGGAGGAAAAGGGAGGAATATCATCAGCTTAGGAAAGCAGGGGCTCTCCAACTATCAGGCTGCCTTCTTCCATCAGCCAAACAGGGAACATAAGCTGGCTGGCAAACAGAGGGAAGGTTGGGCCCTGGTAGATGATTTCAGAATCAAAGAACTTTGTCCTGGAGTTAAACTTCAAAGTTGCTTGTAGCCAATAGCACTTATGGGCAGCTTTGCTCTAAGTGCAGTGAAAAGGCCTAACATGCTTAGCAAATCAGAATTTATAATCCTAATAACAGCTAACTTGTAGGGATTGTTGGCAAAGTGCTGAGCACTTGACCCTACAAATCCTTTCACTACCCCATCAGGTTGGTAATAGTGGCAGGATCTGCACTGATGGATGACCTACAGAATCAAGATTTGAACCAGGAAGTATAACTTTAGCACCTGCCATCTTAACCACTACAGGAAAGGCTTCTTTACACTTTACGTCAACTTGCTGATTTCCCTTTTGTCTCCTGGACAAAGCAAAAAGAAAGTACTCACAATTTACAAAATCTTATAAAAATGAAAACTACTAGGAGTCTTTTTCTAGTCAGGCTATCCTTAGGCACTCTCTCTCACTCTGTGGGAATATACTTGCATTCCACTCTGAAGTCTGTGTGTGTCAATGTCCTCAGCAGGACCTAGTTATTCCCTGGCCTAAAGGAGACCTGCTGAGACACTTATGGCTACAGTTTCTCTACTTACAAGTTGCCAGTCCACAGTGATCCCTGTGTTGTCTGCTGACACACTGATCTAGTATCACTGGCTCAGTGGACTAGTGGAAAGCTCAGGACTAAGTCAGGGATAGGCTTGGGCCCAGTCTCATGCCTTTCCACTTTTCATGCCCATGCCTAGTTGTATAACTTTGGGTAAGTCCCTTCACTCTTTGAGCCTCAGTTTCCCTGGTCAAGTGAGAGAGAGAATTTTGTTGCGAGGGTCTTATAAGGTGGTGCTTCATAAGACTATAAAGCCCTGAACTGTGGTTTGAGAGGCTGTGTGGACCTGGGTTCTTTACTGCTAATCTACATGGGGCACTCATTTTTGACTTATAAGAACATCTTTCAAATGTCAGTTTCTCTAAAAAAATTTTTTTTTTTCCAATACTGGAGATTGAACCCGAGACCTCATGCGTGTTCTACCTCTGGGCTCCATTCCCAACCTTATTTTTGAGACAGGGTCTTACTAAATTGTCAACCCCGGCCCTTAAACTTGTGATCCTTCTGCCTCAGGCCCCTAAATAGTTGGGATTACAGACATGCACCTTTTTGCCTAGCTATTAAGATATTTATATTTCCTCAACTGTTTCCTGCCTGACTTTATGATATGTTTTCTTTCCTCATCCTTCCTCAGGCCTTTCCTTGAGCTATAGCTTGTTCTCCAGCTGTCTGTTGTGGTAACAGACTGCTCTTGTGAGCAGCATGACTCCTCTTCCTCACTGCCTGCAGGAATCATGGCTCTGGCTTTCTCTCCCTGGCCTCCTTTGCAAACAGGGAGTCCTGAGGGAACCCTTAGGGAGTTTTCTCAGCAGGACCATTCAGCAGTCTTCCTTTTGCTCTTTGCTTCCCTGGCACTGTGTTTAGAGCCCCAGGGCTGCTCATGCCCAGCAGAAGATTCCGCAGGCCTGCTTTAACCCACCATACCTGGAGGCCATAACCCACTGCTCTGCTTCAGACCAGGACCACTACAGAGTACCCATCTTTCCTCTTTGGCTGTGGTTACCCTGGACAAGCCCCAGGAGCTCTTTCTGCCTGGCTATGGAGGCTGTGGTCTCCTTTGGTCAAGAAGTCACAGCAAGGAAAAGACTATACCTTTTTTGGGAAGTGTGCTCAGATCCAACACTCCTCCTAAATGACTCCTGCCAGGAGAGGAGGGTGGCTTCCCTCAGCACCCTCAACTGTGTCCAGGACAGAAATCTAGACAGAAAGGGCTATTGCTAGAATACAGTCTTTCCCCATGGGTCCCTGACTTGGGTTTGCTTAAGCAGTGGCCCTGCCCTCCCAGAATTCAGCAGGCAAGGGTGTGGCCTTGCTCAGCTGTCATCAGAGCCCCTCTATCTCAAGGTGTTGCCTAAAAGACTGGTAATCCTTATGCTTTTTGGGAACACTTTCTTGTACTTGTTCCTAACACATCCCTACCATCCTCCCTGAGGCAGGCAGGCAGAGTGGATGACCATTTCCTTATCTTTGTGCTGAGGAGAGTAAGAGGCTAGATGGAAAAGTCCTGAACACCATCTCCTTTATCCTAGGTTGCACTCTTGGTTTTCCAGCCCTTAGCTCCCTACCCTGGGCCTGTCTAAAAGCAGAGCCTCTTGGGGAACCTCAGTGGACTGAAAATACTCCAAAGCTCCCTTGGAGTAGGGCACATGTAACAGGGATCTGTGATGATGGAGCTGCCTGCCTCAGGCTGGGCTTAATCAATTTGTGTGGAAGCTTGAGGGATCTGTGACTCTGGACTGAACAACAGCCAGTCAGTTGCCAAAGCCTGGCCAAAGTGACTTCCTTAAGGTGACCCTTGTCCCACAGCAGCAGGAAACTTCCCAGTCAGGGGCAGTTCCCCTCCACTCCCTTCCTCTCTCCCTTTTCCAGGCAATTCCAGCAGCTCAGTCTTGGCTCTTATGAGCAGTCTGATTCCTATTCCTCACTGCCTGCAGCCTGTCTCCTTCCTGGTTCTTGACTTTCTTTGACCCTTGGAAAGTTTTCTCTTGTTTGTGCTGATCATCAGGAAGGCCAGGTCTTATGTTCTCCCTCTTCTGAGAGTTTCTAGTGGGACTGTTTGAGGGGTTTTCCAGGTGAGGGAAAGTTAGGTGTGAGCTAAGGCCCCAGAGCTTCTGTGTTAAATATCCTTCTGTGATGTAGGGTCGAGAAGAAGCCATTACTTATTGAACACAGATTGTGCGTCAAGCCCCACACTGAGCACATTTGCCCCCTTCTAGTGGAATCCTTTCAGCAAGTCTGAAGTGGTAGGTGACATCATTCAGATCTTAAAGTTGGTAAGAAATGATTGGCCCAAGGCCAGTACAAGACTCAGACCTACATCAGCTACTCTCATGCCCTGTGTACTCAGCTCCTTTATCTCAGGCCAGACTGCTTAGTGTATGGAGCTGAGGGTGTACCCAGTCTCATGCCAACATCTCATAGTAAGGGCTGCAATCAGAATTTACTCCCAGCCAGCTGCCTCTCTCCTTGTCACTGTCAAGGTCCTCTCCGGAGCTCAGGGTCAAGGAGAGAAGAGAGGGAATTCCTGACCAAAACAATGAGAGCCTTCCTTTTGAGTTCTGCTGAGAGTTCTCCAGGCTGTCTGTGTCCTGCTGTACAGCTGCTTAAACCAACACCCTCCATGAAAGTGTTTGGACCACACCTTTGGGTGTATTCTGGTTCATCTTGTGAGCAGCCTTTCCTATTGCTGCAACTGTGCCTTGTGGTGCAACTGTGGTGCAGATCCCTCTCTGGTGACAAGCTATGGGATAACTCAACTTGTATGGTTCCATTTTGATTCAGAAGTACAGTAAGCCCTTAGTATTTGTAGGTTCACACCAGTAGATTCAGCCAACCACAAATGGAAAATATGGTTAGGGTTAAATGGTTATATCTACTGGATATGTAGACTTTATTTCCTGAACAATACAATATACTATTTACTTAGTATTTACATTGCACTAGGTATTATAAATGATCTAGAGATGATTTAAAGTATATGGGAGGATGTGCATAGTTTATATACTCCCTTGATATAGGGTACTTTATATATTCTCCTTTTTATATGGAGGACTTGAATACCAGAAGAGTCTGGTGTCCATGGGGGTTCTGGAACCAGTTCCCTGTGGGAGATTGTAGTTATGGGCAACCAGAATTCTGTGACAGACTTCAGGAATACCTTTTTATTTGTTTGTTTGTTTTGTTTTGCAGTGCTGGGGATTGATCCCAGAGCCTCTGCATGCTAGGCAAGCGCTCTACAGGAGTCACATCCCCAGCCCAGGAATGAATGCCTGTTTTGTCACTGGACCAGGAGATGTGCACTCTGCCATCACCTGGTGGTAGCATGTCTAATTTCAATCCCTCTGTTCCCACTATAGAATCTGCATTATAGTAACAGTAGGAAAGTCCTCCCCTCTACCCCACCCTGCTTTTCTGCGCTTGCTGATATACTGAGTGAGGGTCCCACCAAGCCCTGAAAGACGAGCCTGGCTCAAGGAGCTGCCGGGTGGATGCATGGTCACAGCTATCTTTTTGATTTTCAGATCCGCCTGCGGTGTCAGAAAGGCATCCCACCTTCTCTGCGGGGCCGTGCTTGGCAATACCTGTCAGGAGGCAAGGTGAAACTGCAGCAGAATCCTGGAAAGTTTGACGTGAGTTTGCCTTCCTTCCTTCACCCCACCCTTCCTTCCATGTTTCTGGGCTGGGCGTCCTCCCGTGGCAGCAATTCCCCATATGCTAACCTGGACCTCAGCCAAGGGCCAGGGATGGGGGCAACTGACAGAACCTCCAGTCTTGTGCTTGACAACACAGGACTAGCAGACTGTTTTGGCCCAGTCTTGGGAAACTATGACTCCTGGAGGCTCTGTTCATCTGAGGGTGTAGCCTTGAATAGACCTTAATGGGATGGATAGATTTGCCAAACCCCCAACTCCAGCTCTTTGTCTTCACAACTACTCAGGTTTGTTTTGGGGCACTTATTGTGCTACCTCCCAGTTCTTAGTCATCAGGAGGGATAATCAGAGCATTTCCCTGTTTGGGGCCTGTGCTCTTGGCCTCTATGGGGCTTGCCTAGCAGGACCACAAGACCCTTGACACTGCCTGGCCTTTCATCCTCCTCTCTTCCTCCTACCTCCAAACCAAACCAGACATGCTGCCTGAAGGGGTCATCATTCCTGAAGGTAGCAATGCTAAACTCCCTTCAGGAGTGAGAGGCGACTCTGTGGCCAAAGACGGTGCCCACTGTATCCATGCCTCCCTCTGCCCTACCCCTCTCTTGCTGCTCCCAACTCAGTGACTGGCCAGAGTACACTACCCCTCCATTCACTGACCTGGGCAGTTCCTCCAACCTACTCCCCTGGGGAACTGGGAGGAGGCAGTTGGCTTCCCCAGAATTGCCCCAGCTTACCTGCCAGACCTCATCCCAGGCATCAGGGTTTCTCCCAGGCCACTGGGACTAATGACAGGCAGTGAGACAGAACTGTCAGCCACTAGTTCTTTGTTGACATCCTTCATGCTTCGGTGAACACTCCTGTCTGGCTAGACCTGCTCTCTGAAAAAGGAGGATAGGAGCACAGCAGGGCAGAGTTTCTGTTGTTGCCCTGAAAAGGCTGAGAGCTATTAACTGGCAGCACTTGGCCCCAGGGAAAGAGGTACTGGTGGGACATCTGCTGGGGGAAACTGTGAATCAAGGAAATTGGCTATTCCCATAGAGCACCAATACCAGGCCACACTGGAGTGGCCTTTCAACTCCAGAGTCTTCTTCCCAGTGGCTACATCTCCATTGCAAGGGGCTACTTTCTGGGCAGGGTGGGGAACTCAGGGATGAGAGCCCTGCCCCAAGTCCATAGCTATGTCTGGCTGCCAGAGCACAGGCCCGAGAACCAAGAACATGGGGACTTGGCCAGCATCCTGGTTGCACAGTTCAGCAGGTCCTCAGTGGGTGTAGTAGAGCAGAGTTCTGTACATATATGTAGAGTGGTATGTCCAAAGAGGAACTGGCTACCCGCTGTGACATTTTCAAGGTTGCTTGTGCAAGGAAGTTGATTTGCTGAGAAAAGTCCTTTTTTTTTTTTTGAGGTGATTTTTAATTTGTTTTAATTAGTTATACATGAGAAGTAAAATGCATTTATGCACTTTGATATATCATACATAGATGAGATATAATTTTTCATTTTTCTGAGTGTACATATTATAGAATCATATTGGTTATGCAGTCACATATATACATAAAGTAATAATGTCTGTTTCGTTCTACTATCTTTCCTATCCCCATATCCTCTCCCCTCCCTTCACTTCCCTCTACCTAATCTAAGGTAATGCTATTCTTCTCTGGTGCACCCCGCCCCACCTTATTGTGAATTAGCATCTGTATATTAGAGAAAACATTCAGCCTTTGGCTTTTGGGGATTGGCTTATTTCACTTAGCATGATATTCTCCAACTCGATCCATTTACTGGCAAATGCCATAATTTCATTCTTCTTTAAAGCTGAGTAATATTCTATTGAAAAAAAAATATATATATATATATATATATATACCACATTTTCTTTATCCATTCATCTATTGAAGTACACCTAATTTGGTTCCATTGTTTAGCTATTATGAATTGAGCTGATATAAAAATTGACATGACATCTCATTTTAAGCAATCCTAAGTAATCCTGTGAGGCAAACATTATTACTACTATTCTTATTTTATAAATGAATATTGAACTTATCAATTAGTAGATGCCAACTATTTGGAGAAGATTTGGTTATGGAGAATATAGCCAATTAGATAATTGCCACATATATGCTTTGTTTTCATACCTTTGTGGATGAAATATAGGAGACTCTGCTACTTTGATGCTGGGTTTGAATGTTTGACTTTAGTTATCCAATGCAATACTGGCAGACAAGAAATGAACAGAGATTTGAAATGTGCTCGTGCAATCTGACTTGCTCTTCTGCACTTCTGCTATCACCATGAGCATAACATGCCCGTGAGGACCCACAGGTATCAGAAACATGGAAGACATGCAGACGAGACTGGACTGACTTGCAGCTTGGTGCCAACACCTGTTGAGTGTAGCCTACAGCTATAAAATGCTTTTAGTTTGACCAAACTCAGGTTTGTGAATAAGAAGAAATGATTGTTGTTTTAAACTGATGATCTTGGGATGGCTTGTTAATGCAGCATTATTGTTGTAATAGCTAACTGGTGCAGAGAGGAAGAGAAAATGGAGCGTAAACTGCCCATAAAAAAGAATAAAATGAATTCAAATAAAAAAATTGACATGGATGCATTACTGTAGTATGCTGATTTTAAGTCGAGAAAAGACCTTTTTTAAAAAAAAAAATATTTTTTAGTTGTAGATGGACACAACCTTTATTTATTTTTGTGTGGTGCTGAGGATCAAACCCAATGCCTCATACATGCCAGGCAAGCACTCTACCACTGAGCCACAACCCCAACCCCGAGAAAAGGCCTTCTTGATGCTCTGAATCTGAGCAGTGGGTCCCTGAAGTAGACTTGGGAGCACAGAGATTGGTTTGCTAGCAGATTTTTGGTTTGCTAGGAAGGACTTTTCCTTTAAATGACCCAAAGGAAGCAGACAGGAATGGGAAGCTCTCTCCAATGCCTCACATGCATGAGCCATGGCAGGAGTCTAGGGAGGGGGCTGTGGTATTACTGGGTCCTCCAGTTAACAGTGCTGTAGATAGCTGGTTCCGTCTCAACAGTCAGGACAGATTCTATAGGACTTGGCTACTCCATTTTTTCCTGCACTTGCTATTTCTTGTGTCTTTCTTGGACAAGGAGGACTTTCCTGTTCTTTTTTTACCTGTTTTTCTTCTCCGGTTTCACCTCATGATGGTACCAGCACTGTGCAGGCTCAAGAAGGTCCCAGGCCCATTGATGGAAATTCTGGCTTCTCTGTGGGTGGCCCCTGCCTGGCTTTGATTCCCAGCACACCCCTTCTCCCAAGAGTGATTGCAGCTATCTCTTTTACCTTTTCATCAGCCTGAGTGTGGTTAGGTAGGTACCTTGGGCTGCTGAGGTACCAGATGAACACATTCTAGGAACTAATTTTAGGGGTTTTTAGGTCCCTATACCTCATGGGAACCACCAGGAGAATTTGTGGGGATCTTCTCCCCTTCTGAAAAAAAAAGAAAAACTGAATTTTGCTAGGAATACACAGCACACACACAGGCCCTGTCTTGAGTGTTCGTGGGGCTCCAGAGGATAACACACCTTCCTTCACTGTGGAAACCCAAACCCCTTCCTCTCCCTCAGCCTTCTGGACTCTTTCACCTTTCCTTTCAGTCCTTACTCTATGGTCAAGTTTCAGGCATCCTAAATTCTTTAGTTTAATACTGGACACCCCTATTAAGGGCATGAAAGGGAGAGGGACTTGTATGAGGTCACCTGGTGGTGCCTTCTTAGGATATTTGCTGAAACCTCCTTTCCTTCCCAGCACCTTCCCTGATGCTGCAGCTTGTACTTGGCTCAGCTTCCCTGCTCAGCCCTTTTAGTTTCCTTCATATTTATTTTTCTTTCTTTTCTAAATATTGAAGCATAACTTTATATAGGGAAAAATGTACAGATCTTGAGTGTGCTGTTCAGTGAGCTTTGACAAATAATACTCATCCTTATAACTGACATGCAATTCAAAAAAAGGAGCATTAAATATTATTCCTGGGACCAGCCAATTCTGCCAGGAATGCTCCCCTCCACTCTCCCTAGCCCCTTATATGTGCCTTTGCCTTTGTTTCTAGGAGCTGGACATGTCTCCTGGGGACCCTAAATGGCTTGATGTGATTGAGCGTGACCTGCACAGACAGTTCCCTTTCCATGAGATGTTTGTGTCCCGTGGAGGTCATGGGTGAGCAGGACTATAGGCTGGAAGAGGGGCTCTAGGGCCTGTCCCTCAATGGGCAGAGTGGGTGCAATGAGATTGGAAGTATCCTTGGGGGCCCAGAAGCCAGGTATCCCAGTATCCCAAATTCTGTCAGTATTTCCCTTCTTTTTTTAGAGAGAGGATTTTTTTAATATTTTTTTTTGAGTTTTCGATAGACACAACATCTTTATTTTATATTTATGTGGTGCTGAGGATCAAACTCAGCGCCCCGCTCATGCCAGGCGAGCGCACTACCGCTTGAGCCACATCCCCAGCCCAGTATTTCCCTTCTTTGATTTATGTTTGATAGAGTTCTTAGCATCTCCTCTGGGCAGCTTTCATCATTTATTCCCCAGACTGCTAGAGCTTGCCCACTCTGGCCTTCTGCAAACAGGTTTTTGTTGTAAAAAAGGGATAGTGAGGATTGGGTAGAAAGAGGGTATGCAGGAAGGGACTGATTGGGACAAAGCTGCCAGTGGAGCTGCTAGTGATGGACTCCAGCCTCCAGCCTGATACCTTACCCTGTACCTCTCTGGCAACCTGTCACAGTCCTTCCCCTTTCCTCACCTGTCATGGGGGAATCTCTTCCCACTTTCCTTCTTAGTCAGGTGAGAATCCATATGCTACAGTGGGAGGCCAGCCCCTTGGTGACCACAAGTAGGTCACCGCCCCTTTCCAGGAAAGTGCAAATTCTGAAGGAGGTCCAGTCCAGTGGTTACAGGTGGGGCAGTGGATGGTAGAATCAATCTGTCATGGCTGTCCTGCCTGACTTCTCCACAGCCAGCAGGACCTGTTCCGTGTGCTAAAGGCCTACACGCTGTACCGACCTGAGGAGGGCTACTGCCAAGCCCAGGCGCCTATTGCTGCTGTTCTACTCATGCACATGCCTGCTGAGGTACCATCAGGCCCTGGACACATGGGTGGGCAAAGGGACCAACCCCAGTAGCAAGGCCTGATGTTTTTCTCGCCCATAGCAAGCCTTCTGGTGTCTGGTACAGATCTGTGAGAAGTATCTGCCTGGCTACTACAGTGAGAAATTGGTGAGTACTTTGCTGGCCTGGGACCTGACCCCAGCTGGATGCCTTCTGTGGTCCCTCTAGGCTCTTCTTTCTACAGTCATTCCAGGCTGAAGTCCTAGAGTCTGGTCTCCCAGACCCTGGTGTCATAGGTGCTACACTTGCCTACATCTCTCCCTCCAACCACTTGGGCCATTTGGCAGGACTGAAATTCCTCCAGAGCACAAAGTTCTTCCTGCCTCTGCTGTGGTGTAGGAGTAAACCTCTACCTGAAGCTCCATTCCTCTCAAAACTCCTCCTTTCTCAGCTTTCAGCTTGTGTGGAGCTTTCCTTGGCCTGAGTAGGGAGAACCCTCTGTCAGGTACTTGTGTAGCATTCCTGTTCCTGCCATGTTCAGGGCACTCAGCACTGTTATCCCCTCTCCTAGTCCCTTTTCACTATAAGTTCCATGAGGGGGACCAGCTGTCTAGTTTGCTCACTGCGGCTTTGGTCATGGCCCCATGGCCTTGATGTCCCCCCAGGAGGCGATCCAGCTGGACGGCGAGATCCTCTTCTCATTGCTGCAGAAGGTGTCACCTGTGGCCCACAAGCACCTCAGCCGTCAGAAGATTGACCCGCTGCTCTACATGACAGAGTGGTTCATGTGCGCCTTTGCCCGCACCCTGCCCTGGAGCTCTGTGCTGCGTGTCTGGGACATGTTCTTCTGTGAGGGTAACCAGGCTGGCCTGGGGGGAATTTCAGAGTCCTGGTAGAGGCCTCCTTGCACTCACCATCTGCTTCCCATGCAGGAGTCAAGATCATCTTCCGGGTGGGGTTGGTGCTACTGAAGCACGCACTGGGCTCCCCAGAGAAGCTCAAAGCCTGCCAGGGCCAGTACGAGACCATCGAGCAACTGCGGAGCCTCAGTCCCAAGATCATGCAGGAAGCCTTCCTGGTTCAGGAGGTTCGGCCCACACCTGCCCCTTGTGGCGACTGGGAGGGAAGAGGATTTGGTAGGGTTCTGCTCACAAGGATGGGCTACCCATGCTGGGCCCACTGCTAAGCAGCCCTGAACAGGGCTGATGGACCTCACCTTCCTGTCTGGGTGGGGCACAGAGAGGCCTTGGTTTGTAGGACCTTCCTTATACAAGTTACCGGGGAATGAAGAGGAGCTGCAACTTGTAACCTCTTCTTTCCTGGTCCCACATTCATGGCCTGGGCTTTATTTTCCTTTTTTTTTTTTCTTTGTGGATACTACTCTCTCAGGCTACAATGAAGTGATACATGAGTGGCCAGCTTCTATGGCTGGAGGCCAGGGGATAGGGCTGATGCCATTGCGTGGGGAAGAAATAGAAAGCAACAGCCCATTTTTGTACTTGCTTTACCAACAGCTGCTGAAGACTGTGCCATTATCCCTATTTTACGTATGAGGAAATGGAGGCTCACAGAGGCAGGATCATAAAGTGACTCCCCCAGTCACCAACCAAAAAGTGGCACAGCTGGAATTAGCCCAGGAGGCCAGGGTGCCCTAGGCAGTTGGGGGGCAGGGCATGTGGGCCAAGAATGGGTGTTGTCCTGAGCCTTATTTCTCTTGCCCAGTAAGAAAGGCAAATTGACTTGTGTGTTGTGAGCAGCTTTTTCCTCAGAGGCAGTGGGTTTCATGTCCCTGGCACTCAGCTCTGGGACTTGTGACCACAGCTTGGGACCAGATTCTCATCTTTGCTGGGTTCAGCTGTTATCAGTGAGAGCTGGGAGACGCTGAAGGGAGAGCAGGGGTCCAGGCTGAAACAACTGGTGATGGTCCTTCTTCTTGGTGCTTACCTGCCCCTCACTGCCCCTGCAGGTGGTAGAGTTGCCTGTGACAGAGCGCCAGATTGAGCGTGAGCATCTCATCCAGCTGCGGCGCTGGCAGGAGACACGGGGTGAGCTGCAGTGTCGCTCCCCACCCAGGCTGCATGGTGCCAAGGCCATCCTAGATGCAGAGCCCGGCCCCCGGCCTGCCCTGCAACCTTCACCGTCCATCCGCCTACCCCCAGATGCACCCCTCCCTGGTCCCAAAGCCAAGCCCAAGCCTCCCAAGCAGGTCCAGAAGGAGCAGCGGAAGCAGACAAAAGCAAGTGGGCAACTGGACAAGTCCCTGTCCCCCAACCAAGCCGCGGTAGTGACGGCTGCAGGAGATGCATGTCTCTCACAGGATGTGCCCTCAAAGGACCTGGCTTCTCAGGACCCAGCCCCCCAGGACTCAGCACCCCAGGACTTAGCCCACCACTGCTCCCAGGAGAGCCTGACATCCCAGGAGAGTGAAGATACCTACTTGTAACCCCGGCAGCTCAGGCCTCCAGGGTGGGGGTCTCCACACACCTACATGGTTTGAAGACTGATGCTCCAGGTCCTGCTCACCCAAGGGCCCCACTGCTTGGCCACTGGGCTGGGAGAGTCTGGCTGGACTAGCACAGATTCTGCCTGAGCCTCCTTATTTATTTTCTCTAGAGTGGAGCTCGGGCTGGCCCAGTCAGGGCAGACAGAAGCCAGGGCAGACAGAAGCCAGGGCCAAGTGGGTGGGGCCTCATTCAGCACCCTTCCTGGATGCTCCCAGGATTAGGGTGCTGGCATGAGGAGAGAGGGTGGGGTGCCCTTTGTGTAAAATAGAAATGTGGTTTTGTACAGAAATAAACAGGCTTGTGTAGAGAGTTGGTGTGTAGCTAGGGACTGGGAAGGGGTGACACCCTGGTGCTTAGCATCTCTTCTCCACATCTCTTAACCCCAAACTATCTTCTTTGAGAAGTACCTTTGGCAGAGGAATTGCCAAGTCCAGGACCAGCCCCTCTTATTGGCCCCATCTTCCCTGACCCCATCCCTTTCCTCTGCCATGGATGAGGGACACCAGGGCTTGGAGCCCACCACTGGATCAGAGCAGGGTTATGATTTCCTGGACTTAGGTCCCTATTAATAATCATTGAAGGGTAAGGGCTTCCTGCAGAGGTGGCTTCAAGCTCTTTCCCCTCCAAGGCCTAGCCAGATGCCACTTCAGGTCCTGATTAGCTTCTGAGTGCTCATTGGAGATTGGAAGCTGGCACCAGGGGTGAGGAACCATGAATGTCCTCATGCTCAGCCCAGGCCTCTGTCAAGAGGCAGATAGGTGAGGGGAGAAGTCTGGGTCCTTGATAAAATGCTGCCTTATGTTTACTGAGCACTTACCTTGTGGCAGGCAGGCTTGGTTGTGTGGTGTGCCTGAGAGGTAGGGAACTGGAGCCGAGTGGGAAAGGAGCCTTGCCTTCCGACATGAAGAGCCACACTGGCACCTAGATCCCTTCACTCATCTCCCTCTCCTGACCAGTTTTCTAGTGATCCTACTGCTACTGAGAGGCCAGGCAGGCATTTGGTCACAACTGATGACTGGCAAGGCTGAGGACAGGGTGTCCCTGGGAAAGGCCCCCCTCCGCCTCGGCCCCTTCTGCTGAGGAAGCAGCTTTTCCAGTCAAACAATAGGAGCTGTTCCTGGCAGGAGACCAGGCTGGGCCAGGCCATAGTGGGTGGGGAGGGTGGAGAGAGGAGCAGAGCCTCCCTGTGAGCTTTTAGGCCTTGGTTGTGTATGGGACATCTTTTTCTGGTACAGCTGGGGATACTGAAGCCTAGGGAGGTGAACTACCAGTGGAGGCTCAAGGGAGACCACCCACTTCCTCCCCCTGCCCATTACCCTGTGTTTTCCCACCCTATCTTCACCTGCCCTGGGTGAGATGGGCTCAGTCTGAGAAACACTCCTCCTTCCTCCAGTTCTCCAGGGGACAGGCAAGGATATCATGGTTGCACAGAGTTTCCTGGAATACCTGCAAATCCAATAATGCAGGGAACAGGTTTAGCGTGATCCCTAGGTGCTTATGGTGGAGGTTCCAGAACAGGTAGAAAGCCTGCTCACTATTACTTTAACCCACTTGGTTCAAACCCTCTGTTTGAGGCCAGAGGATGCTTGAGCCAAAAAAAAAAAAGCCCCTTGGAGCATGCTCAGCTCTACTATGAAGCCACCTGAGCTTGCTGATGCCTGCTCAGCCTTGAGGTTGTCTTAGACCTTGCAGAGGTCTGATAAGAATCTGGGGTGCCAGCCAGTTCTGGGGGCGTCCTTGGGCCTGAAGCAAATTAAGATGTGCTTAGGCCAACTGGGTTCTGCTAATGCCTACAGGCTCCGGGAAGGCCTCTGCAGAGCTCAAAGCCCAGGCCTGAGGTCTAAGTATCCTGTGAGCCTTAATTGCATGGGTCTGTCCCTGCAGAGCCCTGGTCATCCCTAGCCCAGGCACTTCTGGGTATCATTTTTATTGAGGGACCTCAAGCTGGGGCATCTTCAGTGCTCTACCCGACTGGCAGAGGTGGCTAGGTTTCGCCTTACCTCTGAGCTCCTGGTGGGGAGTCTTCTCTGGAACTGGGTGAGAAAAATGGGGCCACCAAGGCCTGGTGGCCCACTTGCAAAGTGGAGAGGGGAAATTATCAATACCAATCCTAGGCAGCGATTGCTTTGGGAACGGGGGACCTTTGTCACCACAACTTCAGTCAGCTTTGAAGGTTTTGCCTCACACGAAGCCAGAAACAGGAAGGACAGAAATGCCCCACACCATCACACTCTTGGGAGTTAATTACATCGCGTTCAGGGAATTTTGGGGCAGCATTCTACTCCCAGTCAAGCTCCGGTTTGTCTCAAGGCCCCTCCTAGTCTTAAAGCCCTCAACCACAATGCCCACGTGTGGGCCCCAGAAGACAGAATCAAACCCTTGCCTCCTGAACAGCCGCCAGCTGGCGGAAAGGGCGGAGCCCAGGAGTGGGGGCGCGGTCAAGGCGGGGCCCAGGGAACGCAGCGGGTGGGATCAAGCTGTGATTCGGGAGCTAGGGCTAGAGGGGTGGAGCCATCCGGGGTGGGGCTCGGAGAGCTGGAAGAAGCTGGGTGAAGTACTGGTGTGGAAGGCGTGGCCACCTTGCATAGGCCGCGCATCTTGAAGGGCGTGACCATCAAGTAGCTGGGCGCCCAGCTGAGTGCCCTGTTGGGCGGGTCTGCAGTGTTGTGAGCGGCGTACATAGTCCCGCACAGCGGCTCCTTTAAGTCCGGGGCGCCACCCCTGCCGCCCCGCCTCCGGCCTCGGTTTAGCTGGCGGCGGGGCTGGGGCCGCGCGAGCCGAGATGGAGCTGCACATCCTAGAGCACCGGGTGCGGGTGCTGAGCCTCGCCCGCCAGGGTCTCTGGCTCTACACCCACCCTCTCATCAAGCTGCTCTTCCTGCCCCGCCGTAGCCGGTGCGCTCCCGGGTTCGGGGGCGCCGATGGGGGGGGGCGGCTCTTCACTGTTTCTCCCGGCCAGGGTTGGAGGATTAGGATCGTCGCGAGGCGGGCGGGAGCGGGAAGGCAGGCGCTCCCCCTCCGGCCGCCATCCGGCCTGGGCCTACCCTCCCGGGGACCGCCGCCTATCCGGTCCCGGAGGCTGCATCCCAGGGCCAGTCAAGGCGCAAACAGCCTGGAGTGGGCAATGCTTAACTCCGAATGGTGTGAAGTGGGGGCATTCTTACCTGGCCACTACGGAGAGCTCCTTCCCGACGCCTCCCATCAGGTCAGAGGGGCCGGCCTGGGGGCCCAAGGTCCGATGCCCCTGGTGTTGTCTCGGGTGTGAGCCTCTCCTCCCTGGAGTAATGGAGGGGCGGGAGGCTACGGGGAGGGAGTTTTGGAGGTGGACAACAGCCCTTGCCTGGGGAGATGGGGCCCACACCCCTTTGCCCAGGGGAAATTGAGCCTGCGGATGAGGGCCGGGCAGGAAGGCGCCTGGCAGGGGTCCTTTGGGACGAATTGAGCTCAGTCCACCCCCACCGCCCCCTCCCCGGGAGTGCTCCACTCCAGGCTGAAGATCCTCCCTGCTCCCGACCAGGTGTAAATTCTTCAGCCTGACGGAGACCCCCGAGGATTACACGCTCATGGTGGACGAGGAGGGCTTTAAAGGTGGGGTCTAGTCTCATGCTTCCCTCTATGCAGGATTCCTAACGGATGCTGGGATCCAGATCCCAAGAACTTGGGCCTTGAAAGGCAGATGGATCTGGGTTCGAATTCTACTCCACCACTCACTGGCTCTCTTGATGAAATCACTTTCCCTGAGATATTTCCTCTTTTGTAAAATGGGTATAGTTACGGTAGTGATCTAGCAGGGTCCCAGGAGGGTATCATAAAAGTGAAACTGTCAGGGAGGGGTCGCTTAGTAGCCTTAGGCCAGTAAGGAGGGGGGCAGGTATCTTAGCTACAGGTCGGGACTTGAATGTGTGGGGTGGGGGAAGGAGGTTCCTGCTGCTGTTTTAACCCCTGGGCATTGTTTTCTGTTGGACTTTTATCCCGGGTACACGTCAGCTCCTCCCCTGCTGGTTTAGGAACTCCTGGAGTCTGAGGGTTGAGAAGGGAATGCAGGAGCAGGCAGCCAGGGCAGGGTCCTGGGGGCCTCCTGGCTGTGCCTCTGGGAACAGCAGCCAACCGGGGCCCTGGCCCTTGTTCAGAACTGGCCTCCAGCCTGGTCCCTCCCTGGACCCTGGAGCTGCTGTCTCTCCCCACTTCTGCAAGAGTTAGCCCATCCTTACAGGCCGGGATCAGACTAACCAACTGGAGGTTGTCCTATCTCCTTGCTGCTCCACTTCAGGCCTTGGGTTCCAAGTTGCTACTTAATTTCAGGGAAGTCTGGATCTGCAAACGAGGAAAAGCCCTTCCACCCACAGGCTAACCCAATCTACTTGCGCCCCCCAGTGGTGCTTTGTGATATAAAGCCTCTGTTAATGCTCAAAACATTACTTTCATCCCATTTTACAGATAAGGAAACAGATCATTTGCCCCATAACAAGTAATTAGCAGAGCTGGGATTTGAAACCAGTTGAGTCTGGAGTTCAGATATTTAATGGGAAGGTTCAACACCCCCCCCCCCCCGCCTTCACCAACACACACACAGTACCCAAAGCACTTCTCAGTCTGCATACCTATGGGTATTACTCTGCAGCACTAGGGGGAGACAGCTCTCATCTCCAGACCTGCCCATATATTGCTGACCCTCCAAGGCACAGACAGGGAAATTAAGTCTCAGAAAGGGTAGCCCTGAAGGCCCTTACTAGGCATTTGCCTCCTACTACAGAGCTGCCCCCATCGGAATTTCTGCAAGTGGCTGAAGCCACCTGGCTGGTGATGAATGTGTCGTCGCACAGTGGTGCAGCAGTGCAGGCTGCTGGGGTCACTAAAATTGCTCGCTCAGTCATCACGCCACTGGCCGAGCACCATGTATCTGTGCTGATGCTATCCACTTACCAGACAGACTTCATCCTGGTAAGTTTCCCATAGGTATAGGCACAAGGCAGCATGGGCATGGGTGCCTGGGGGACCCATGTGATGTGCCATATGTCTATGGCCCAGGTGCGGGAGCAGGACCTGTCTGTGGTGATCCACACTCTGGCCCAGGAGTTTGACATTTACCGTGAAGTGGGTGGGGAGCCTGTGCCTGTTGCCAGGGATGATTCCAGCAACGGCTTTCCTCGTGCCCAGCATGGTGAGGTCTGCCTCTTGACACCTAAACATTCCAGTGGGGCTCTTCCCTTATGCTGGTGGGTCTGGGGGCATGGGAAAACCAGCAGACACTAACTGCCTCTTGAGCTGGGAGGAGGAGTGGGAGGTCCCAGGCTGGTTCCTGGAGTTTG